CTGAAGCCAGAGAAGCCACAGCGAGACCCCTGCCAGTGCTGAGATGCTTACAATGCCACTGGACCCAAAGACTTTCTACCCACTGGCTTGTGATCGTCCTGCATTCGGCATCATTGCATGTGTTTCGTGAATCTGAAGAGGACTTTATAGATTGATATCGGACATACAGGCTAGTATTGGACTTATGGATTTGGACTAGACTGGGTTGGGATGCTTTCTCAATGTTCAATTCCTCTTGTATATAAAACTCTTTCTTATGCATATGCGTTTATGAATTTGTTTCTCTAGTCTACCCAGACTAACACAAGTGGACAGCCTCTCCTTTCTCTGTGGTCTGTTCTTAGTCTGGAAGCTCCACTGAAGCCTGTTCACGTTGGGTGACCCTGCTGCCATTTGAAATACCAGTGACACAGCTTCCAGCATCACGGCAACACACAAGTCAGCAGACTACGGCACACTGACAGATAAGTGGTGGGGTGGGGTGGGGTGGTAATAGTCAGTCGCTTTAGATGTCAACCAGACTGTGGAGACAACCCTTGCCCATTCAATTCATTTTAGGGGCTTTCCAACCTCATCGTCCTTCACCTGTGTTTCATCCTCAGTGGTCACACTTGCTCACCACACCTTCCTAGTCCCTGACACACCTTCCTAGTCCTGAGGCGCAGGGGCGTTTGTTCATAGGTGCTACTGAGCAGCTATGGTGTCAAGCTGTATGTGAACTACTCTCCTCCAGGGTGGAGTTTCAGCCCACACAGCATGCTGCGGACAGGCCCAGGGCCCAGCTTCTGGCCAGGCAAACCCCCTGACATCCCACCTGGGAGCCCCACCAGTCAAGCCGGCTTGAAGCCAGGGAGCTTGCTACTGCTTTGTTACAGGTTAAACATTTAAGAAATGAGGTCGTTTCGAGTTTCGATGACACTGAGGGCAGAAAACCCACGTTTGTCATTTTCTGATAATTCCTTAACGAAGTGCAAGGCGTTTCGTTTTCTTTTGAAGCCTTGATAAACAAACGGACAGATTGGCAGGAAAATGCAAGACAGCTAAGAAACTACCTCCCAAACCTCTCTGGGGAGCAGCACCCCTGCAAGACTGGGGTGTGCCAGCCACACTGTGTGTGTACACACGGACCGAGAGGCAGCCCCACACCTAGAGCCACAGATGTGCACAGGATTCGCTTCAGGTTACAACCTACAATTACTTTCCCCACTTTAACCTAAAAATATATTTGCCTTAAATACAGGGTGATGAATTGCTCGCCATTTCAACTCTGGAAAACATAGCCTGCTGCCTTTATTAGCAGAGCCAGGAGGGTTCTCAAACCCCATCAATAAACTTTTAGAAAGTCAATTTACTGCACAACTATTTTCATAGACTCCTGTCTCGCTCTCGCTCACTGGCTCCCTCTGGAATTTTCCCTTGGGCTTCAATTTTCTCCTCTGTGAACACTAACCCAAAGGCAAACCACTCTGAAAATGACTTTTGGGGTTTTTTT